CGGGACATGGGGTCACAGCTGGCCTTCCCCAGGTGCAGGGACAGAGGCCGGGACATGGGGTCACAGCTGGCCTTCCCCAGGTGTGGGGACACAGTGATCATAGCTGGCCCTCCCCCAGGTGCAGGGACAGAGGCCAGGACATGGGGCAGCAGCTGGCATTTCCCAGGTGCAGGTGCAAGGACAGAGGCTGGCACACAGCAACCACAGCTGGCCCTCCCCAGATGTGGGGACAGAGGCCAGAACACAGCAACCACAGCTGGCCCTCCCCCAAGTGTGGGGACATAGTGACCATAGCAGGCTCTCTCCCAGGTGCAGGGACAGAGGCTGGGGAATGGGGAAGGCCACAGGTGGGGTTCAGGCACTCTCGTCACACCCACCAGCCCGGCATGGGCCTCTGCACGCTGCTGATAAATATTGGATCCCATTAAATAAACTCAGGAGATTGCTTTGTCCTTAAACCTCAAATTGGTTTTATGAAGAAATAGCCGATAGGGACTGTTAGTTCCTAATAAAGAGTCCTAACTCCTCAGAACTCCAGCTCCAGTCACAAGAGACTCATGGGGACAGTTCATCATCAGAGATCAAGCTGGAGCGACGATGGGGTGGCCTGACCCCAAGGAGCAACTCCGCCAGACCTTGGGGCACGAACTTGGAGATGTAGCCCCCTAAGCTGGGGTGAGAATAGGGTGACCAGGGCGAGGGGTACTGACTCCAAGGTGCATCCCTGTCAGACATGGGGGCACTAACTTAAGACGCAGCCCCACCAGCCTGGGCACTGTCTCTCTTTGTGAAACCCAGGACCGGTGCAGCGGTCAGATCCTGATAGAAAACCCTCCAGGAAAGGCAGGATGGATGCTGTGATGAGTTCCCAGGAGGGCTGAGCAGGGGACAATCTGGGCACACTTGGGTGTATGGCTGACCTTGGGCTCTGACACGGGTACCGAGAAGCTCAGAGGCAGGGGCCAGAGCCAGGTGACCACTAGACTTTATTAGAGACTCCAAGTGCACAGCCTGGACCAATGGCTGTTCTGTCAGTTTGTCCATCTGCCTGAGCCTTGGAAGCCAAGCACGAGCTGGTGTCCTGGGGCTGCTAACGTGGTGGGCCCCAGGCCTGAGCCCCTCCTCCACACCCTGACCCCAATCCCATCCAGGCCAGCAGTTAACTGGCAGACTCAGGATTTGGGGGTGTCCTCTTCCTGCAAGCACATGAATAATAGAGGCCTTGGGGAGGGCCCAGTCACCTGGACATCCCCTCTTTTGTGTGTTCTGGGACTCCTTCTGTAGGCTTGCCGCTGCCCAGACCCCAACAAGCAGGGCTTTATGAGGGGCTGCAGCCTCACTCACGCCCCCTGCCCACCCACCTTCTCCCTCCCCTTCTGTGCCAGGCCTGCATCAGCAGATGCAGCAGCTTCACCTCCATGAGCCCCACTAATCCACCAAATCCTGCCTCCACAGACGGGCTGGGTGACAGGGCAGCCTGCTCCCTGCTCCCGGGCAGCCAAAGGGCCTACATGGGCCAGGCAGGTGGTGGTGAGGGGACTCGAAGGAGCCGGACACTCCACACACCGCTTCTGCCCAAAAGAGGAACATTTTATAACCGCTTTACATGCAGCTTCAGGGCAAAAATGCAATTTGAAAGTTCTGTCCTTATCTCCCATAGTGAGGCCACCAGGGGTAGAAAGCCAGGGTCCCCCACCCTCTGGACTCCAGAGGTCAGCTGATGCTTTTGGTTTACCTCTGAGATGGGGCAGGAGCAAGGCCACTGGCTGATTCCACGGAGCAGGCCTGCCTGTCCAGAGGAAGTTTCTGGAGAGGCAGGTCTGAACACACAGCCTCAAGTTCTCATTAGGGACCCTCTCCTTGACTTGATGTGTTCGCCGTATCAGAGGAAAGTGGAGGACAGTGACCTACAATGTCAAACGGACCCCAGGAGGCAGGACTACACAGGAACTGTATGTCACTTGTTACATGCTGCCCTCCCCACAAACCCCTGTGCTTCTAACCCAGTGGAACTACGAGCTCCCCTAAAACTTCCTTCTTCCTCATGATCAGAGGAGGGGGACAAGGCTAGCCGGGGGAGGCAGCCAGCAGGGAATGACTAATGCACAGGGAGGCCTTGGGTCCTCTGCACCTCAGGTTCCTTGGATGTAAAATGGGTCGATTTGGCCCTGGTTACCATATTGCATTCTGCAGGCTGTGTTACAACTGTCTGTACTGACCACAGCTCCCTGAGGCCTGGCCCAGGCTGCCTGGTTTCCACAGCTTCCCCAGACCACAGCAGTGTGTGGTCACCTTTGTCTCCAGCTCTTTGGGGTGCTGCCTTTAAAGCGGTGGCAGAGGTAGGACTCCCGGGTTCTTGCACCACATAGGGGGTACGTCCATCAGGGGATGTTGGAGGATATGGACAGGCTCTGGGAGGTGCCTCATGCGGCTGGACCTGGCTGGACCCAGATCACAGGCTCTGCAGGCTCAAAGCACCCACTTCTTCTGTGGCCCCCCAGCTCCCATCTGTTCTGCAGCCAAGCAAGCCTTGGCTCCTCCACGATGTACCTACACACACACACACACACACACACATCTGTGAACCCATTACCATCACACTCACCGGGGTTTGTTTGATGACAGATCAGAAAGCGCTTGGCACCTCATAAACAGCGCCTGGCACTGCAAAGCTGGCAGCAGCGGGTGCTCCAGCCAAGGGTGGAGGCAGGGCAGCCTCCTGGGCTGAGAACCTAGGGGCTTTTCACTGCCTGTGAGGGGGGCTCTGTGATGAGGGTGGCAACACCAGACCACCACCAGGGAGGGGCTGGGCGGTGAGATTCCCACCAAGCCTGTGGGGGTCCTTCTGCCCACACAACTTCCTTCCCGTCCCCCTCGGCCACACTGGACTGGAATGCCCTCTTTCTTGCCCTTTGCTGCCTCTGCAAAGGGCAGAGGGCAAGGTTGGCCTTGTCCAGTAGCCAGGGCAGTACTCACCCCGCCAACACTGATGAGCAGGGTGGGGCTGGAAGAGGGGGTCCCAGTGCATGGAGGGGCCTTCCCTGCGGGCTCGCCAACTCCAGCGGCCTGTCGCTTAATCGCTCACTTCAGTGGGAGGGTCGGGAGAACTAGCCCGCCACCCACCAGCCTGCCTGCACCGGCATGCCCTCCTGCCTCCTGCAGAGGAGTCAGTGATGCTTCTCATCACTGGGGTGCCCGTCTCCCCCATCCAAAGGACCCCTCATAGCTGGCACGGAACAAAAAGCTCGGGGGCTGGTTTCAGGCTATTGTGCAGATAAGGGCTGGGGTTCTAGACTTGACCCAGTGCCAGCCCTGTCATCTTGCTAGGTGACCATGACTCATCTTGGGAACCTCTGCTTCTCAGCTCTGTTGATGGCAATAGCAGTACTTCAGGTGCTCGGAGCAGTAACCGGGTAAATGTCCATGAGGGGCTGGCCTGGGGCCTCAGCTCTACCCCTACCTCCCCTGCCCCTCCAGCCTCCTGCCACACTGTGCGCGTTGGCCCATTACCAGCAGAGGGTGGGATGGGGGTGAGAGGGGTGCCCTCTTTGCAGACTCAGCAGCCTCTAGGGCCAACAAGGGTGACCATCAACAATCCCCTCTGAGTTTAGGTGTTCACCTTCCAGGTTGGGGCCTCAAAATTTTGGGATCCCTTGAAAATAGTGATGAGGGGTGGTACATGCCCAGCCTTGGCACCTCAAATCAAGCCATTCCCAGCAGTGCAGGATCTGCCCCTGCCTCCCGGAGGTGGTGTGGGGACAGGTTGGGGTGGGGCAGAGGTGGGGTGGGGGCTGGACTCTGGGGAGCCTGCCTCCACCTTGGCAGTTGTGCTTGGCTTTAGAGGCAGTGTGGGATAGGGCAGCCAGTCTGGTCACCATGGGCAGCACCTGTCACTCCACAGTCCTTCAGGGAGAGGGAGGATCTCCAGGCACAATGGAAAGTGAGGCATGAAGGTCAAACAAACAGGCCCCAGGGGGGCCTATCACTCCCCTCTTCTCAAAGGCATCCAGGGGTGTGCAGCCCTACTTTCTGGACTCCCATGTTGTTGGGTGCACGAGCTGGCAAAGTGGAGGGGGTCACCTGGGCCCTGGGCAGAGCCAGGCGTGTACAGACTTGTCCATCCTGGCCTGGAGCTGGCAGACACATCCACGAGAGCCAAAGTCAGGGCAGGTAGAGATTTTGTCTGTTAAGTTGGCCTCCATGAGCAAAGGAAGAGACACTGTTTGTTGCCAAGTTACAGGGTGAGGGCAGTGATGAGGGGATGTGTGACCTCAACCACCCAGGGGGTTTAGTGTTAGGGGCTGGATTTACCCACCCCAGCTGGAGATGGGTCAGCCATGCCTGGACTTGAGGGCAGATGAACAGGAGTGGGGGGTTGTCAGGCTGGAGCTGAGCAGGCAGGGCTGGAGGGAGCTGGCCTAGCGGTCCTCTCGGACCGGCCGTATCTTCATCTCGGAGAACTTGAGGGAGTACTGCCAGCCGGTCCAGGAGGACCACTCAATGCCATCAGCATAGGAGGCGTGGGCACCGCGAAGATATTGCCCGTTGAGGTTGGATGTGTGGCAGTTTCGGTACCACCAGGCACCACGGTAGAAGGCGGCACAGTTGTTCTCCGAGTGGTCACTGTCGCGATCCTTGGTGGTGAACCTCATGCCACTGTGCTTCAAGAGAGAGTCACCTGTGCAAGTGCACACACACGGGGGTGTTGGGAACAGACACATGGACACACAGACACACAGGTACACCCCCCATGGGAATGTTCACACAGGGTACATGCGTGCACAGGATACATGAGAACAGACACATGAACACTTATACACACAGGTGTGTACACACACAAGGTGCATGAAAATAGACACATAGACTATGCATATACAGGTACACCCCCCACGGGAATGTTCACACAGGGCACATGCATGCACAGGATGCATGAGGACAGACACATGGACACATATACACACAGGTGTGTGCACATAAGTGTGCATAAATGCACAGGAGGGTACAACATGTCAGTTATATGCACGAGAACAGACACACAGACTGTACACAAACAGGTGCACACACAGGGATGTTCACACAGGGTGCATGCATGCACATGTGCCCTCACTATCACCGACATACGCACACTGGTGTACACATATGTGCACCCTCACCTGCCTTCCACACCATGGATGGCCCCGTGTTAGAACATGTACATATGTGTCCTAACAGTCCCTGGTCTAGCAATCCCTCTGGGCTCTTACACACATCTTTTTGGCACCAGAGGAGAAAGGTTATTATTTTTCTTCCCCACCCCTTTCTTTACTTGTTGAATAAGATTCTACTGCCACAGGAGATTTCCTCTCCTTCTCCAGCAGAGCATCTGTTGTATTCAAACTGTGCACATGTGGGATTGCAGCACAGCTTCTTGCCACTAGGCCACCAGAGCTCCCTGAGAAAGGATAAACCCAGTGTAGAGGTTGGGGCCCTGCACTTCAGGAGTTCAGCAGAGTCCAAGCCCCAGGTCTCCTGATTCCTAGCTCTGGGCTTAGTTCCTTCGTCTGGCTCTGGAGCGTCATGTCACAGATGTATGGACCAGCCTCAGCATACCTGCAGTCCCCGAGTAGTCAGCCACTGTGAGGGGGTACCCGTCTTCCTCGGGGTCCACAGAGAATAAGCCCACGCCAAAGCTCCCATAGCGAGCATAGGCTGTGCCGTTGTCGAAGTCCTCCAGGTCCACGTGCAGCTCATAGGTAGCCTGTGTGGTCAGGGCATGGATCCTCTTGAGCCCTGGAGCAGGGAGAGAAGGGCTGGAGATGTTGGTGGGCTCCGAAAATCACACACACACACACACACACACACACGCCAGCAGAGGATGGAGAAGAAAGGAGAGCCATTCTTCTGTAGTTAATGGCAGAAAGGATAACCACCAGCTGTGTGCATTTGATCCTGAGCTACTTTCTTCCTCCTGCAGACCTGTGTTCAACAGAAAACAAGACCAATAGTTGGTGGTGTTTGGCTTTCTCTAAACTAGACAATGCTGTCCAAACATGGAGGTTTCCAACTGGATGCTGGTGGGAAGACTGCAAGTGTCAGGAGATATACAGAGAACCTACACCGGAGGTGGTGGCCCTTATCCCTCCTCACATTCTGGGCTCAGCCAGACCATATCTGATGCTTGCACTTTCCCTGAATCTGGCTTTGAATCTCTGCACGTGCTGTTCCCTGTACCTGTGACACACTCTCTCCACCCGCCCACCTCCTGTTCAACTTCCAGGTCTCACCACCGCTAGCCCTCTGCCCACCCAGTTCTCCCAATCAGTGCTTATCACTGTATCTGTGCTCCCTCTGGGGTAATGCTCCCTGAGACCAGGGTGTCTGTTCTATATTGCTAGTGGAGTGGGACTCAACACATAATGTGCTTGTGTACAGCTGAGTTGGAGCCAACCCATAGCTGTCCCTCCAACAGGTTTTCAGAGGCAATGAATCACATGGAAGGGAGACTGGCCATACGTGGGATTGCCGCACAGTTTCTTACCACTAGACCACCAGAGTTCCCTTGTATATAATTATTATGTGCCATCGAGTTGACTAGAACTTACAGTGACCCTAGGAACAACAGTCCTGAACCCTGCCCTATCCTTAGCCAATCTCACTCTCTGGCACATCTGCCCTCATTGCCTCCGTCACTGTGTCAATCCGTCTCATCCAGGGTCTTCCTCTCCTGCGTTGACCCACCACCCTTCCAAGCATGATGTCCTTCTCAAAGGACTGATCCCTCCTGGCAACATGTCCAAAATATGTGACACTGAGTTTCAAAATGCTTGCTTTCAAGGAGCAACCTGATTTCACTCTCTCACGCAGACCTTGACAATGCACGGTATGTTCAACACTTTTCCAGAAACACAACTCAAAGGCACTGATTTTTATAGCTGAGATACGTATGTTTGCTTGTCTGTCATCTGCTTTTTGGGGAAAAATGCTTGTCTGTCAGACACTGTCCTAAAGCTGAGCTTCCAAGAGTGACTTGGAAGAAGAATTGCCCACCCAATTCCGAAATAACAGACGTTGGAAATCCCTATGAACACTGGAGTACATAATTGTTGCTGTGGTTATGTGCTGTTGAGTTGCTTGCGACTCATAGCGACCCTATGTACAACAGCCCTAAACCCTGCTCTGTCCTGTGCCAACCTCACTGTCTCCGACACACCCACCCCTATTCCCCAGTCACTGAATCAATCCAC